CCCCCCAAGCAAGCCTTTCAAGCCGATCCCCTTTCTCGTGTGTGTGTGTATGGGGGGGGGGTCCTTGCCAGGCTCCACCAGGCGAGAGGAGGCCCTGGGCAGCCTCTCCCTCCCTCAGACACAGGCCGGCCATGAATCCTTCCGCCGCCCCCTCCCCCAAAAAAACAGCACCACATTTTCCTCAGCTTTCTTTGGGCGCCCCTTGCAGATTTTCTCCCTTCCTCTCCTGTTCTGACCCTCCAAATACAAGGCCTACAGGCAAGGGGGTCGGGGGACGAAACCCCCCCAAACCGGGGCCCCCCCCCCCCCGTTTCCAGATGAAATCCATCACTTGCTCACCACAAACAGACTCTGTGCTGGGTCACTGCCCCCCCCCAAACAAGGGAGAGGACAAAAATCTCTTTAAAAAAAACAACAAACCAACAAAATCTGTTTGGGAGAAGGTCTTTGATGGCAATTGCTAGACACCAGTTTTGGAATCTCACGCTTAAGAAGTACTTCGATCGAAAAACAGGAAGTTCTTCCACCATGCTATGAATTTCTACTTGTTGGTCACAATTTGAAGAAGTAGACTTAATTTCCACCCCCCCTTCCCTCCCCACCAGTGGAATAAATCACTGTTTTATAAATCACAAAATTACCAGTGAAATGATTCAGAGACGAGGAGAAATTCCCACTGCAATATTTTCTTTAGAAAGGAAAAAAGGAAGTGCATTTTGCACCTAACTTTTCTTTTTGTGTGTGTGTGTGTGTGTTTTTTCCTTTTTTTATTTTATTTTTTTATATTTTTTTTGCTTTCGTAGCATTTTGCTTCCTTTCTCCCAACTGGTTGCTGACAAAGTGCAAACTCGCTCTATTCCTTCTCCTTTCCCCCCTACTCCTCTTCCCCCTCATTAGATAGATAGATCAATATCATTTATATATAAATAGCTCTGCATATTTCAATAGACTCTCTTCTCGGTGGAGAGGATACTAACCCCCCCCCTCTTTTCTCAATGTCCACAACACCATTTCAAGACTTTGTTCCTGTAAGAAGCCATCCTTCCCCACCCAGGGATCTCTTTAGACAGATTCTTTGTCGTTCGGTTGTTTGTGACGGGCGCTGCTTTTAGGTCCACTGAGCTGCCTCCTTGTCTCCTCCTTCAACGTTTGTGCAGATCTTGGGGGTGAGGCCAACACAAAAACAAATATTTGGGTAGAGGTATGTTAAAAGACAGAGTGCCAACATGTTAGATTAACGGAGAGGCAACATCAGCATGTAACCGTCAAATATCCGTCGGTCAAATCTGTCTGTCTTCAGAAGGGTTCGTTTTCTGTTTTCTGCCGCAGACCAAACTGTTGTAATTTTTCTTTTTTTGCCAAAAACAACAGATCATTTCTCTCGCCCACAAAGTGGCCATTGGTGATCACCGTGACAGCACGTGGGGAGCCACCACCGCAGGAAGCCCAGGAAAAAGCGGGCCTTTGGGTCTCCCCGACAGCAGACCCTTTTCTCTCGTTGGCCCTTGGCTTCCAAGTTCAGCATTTCTGATGTAGATGCTTTACAGTCATAGGAACCAGCACAGCACGTCTGCTGTGAAGCAAGGCTCACGGTTTGCAAGGCACGGGGTGCTCCGTCAGGAGGAAACGGAAAGAAACACCGGCATTTGCATTTGCATTGGCTAAGAGAACCTCTTTGAAACAGCCACAGCCTCCCCGCGCCCCCAGCTGCTGACGGGGAGCTGGGGGGAGATCTCATCTTGGGGCACCACTTGGAGGGGCACCAGGCTGGCCCTTGACATGTAGCGCAACGTCCCGGTTCCAGAGGCAGAGACCGTTTCCAGATTCTGCCTGACTCTAGAATGCTTACAAAGCACTTCAAGGAAGGGTGGCTTCCCCCACCATCCTCTTCCGTTCTAGACAGAAAATATCAGTTTCCAGAAGGGAGTTTATTAGAAGAAGGAAGAAAACTGAATGTTGATACCTTTCGTGGTCTTTGACGCTGGCGATGTCCTTTTTCCACCCCTTTGGAAGAATAGAAAGGACTGGCATGGGTTTAAACAATCACAAAAAGTTTAAACAGCTATTTATGAAAAAGTAGGTTCTGCCTTAAAAGAGCAGAGCTGCAGAGTTATGTCTCTGCTCTGGTGATATGTTCCAGCTAGGCCTGAGGTATCCAGGGGTGACCACAACGGAATTTCAGCTGGTTGAATTTTACTCGTAGAATTCAATCTGACCGTCCACGGGGGGTCTGAGGCGGTGAGGCGCAGCTTCCACGACAGCCCCGTCACTTTTCTCTTTTCCCTGTCTTCCTTTTTCGCACAGCCATCACTATTTTTCTTCTTTGAGTGGAATTAAGGGGAAAATGTCATGGTAAGCATTTCCAAAGGAAACAACAATAACAGAAGAAGTCCCAGTGTTTTATAGAAAAGATAGTACGCTGGGCAATTTCCTCCTCCCTGTTAAGATGGGAGAGCTTGCTGGTGTGTGTATTCAGCTGCCACAGTGACAATTGAGACCTGGAGATTTTTCAGCAGTGGCTCCACCACTCCATGAGTTTCAAAATGAGCACAGTTAAAAAATAAAATACTTCCAGCACTTGGGTCAAGACCATGGAGGTGAAGCTGAATTCTGGAGTGAGCGTTGACTGGCTGCCTCAAGAGGAAAAGTAACCTTGCCTTCTCTTTACAGGTTCCTAAACAGAAAAACAGGCTGGCCGAACTTCTGTCTTGAAAGGGGAAAGGAGGGACCGCCACACAGGGAGAGGGTGCGAAGGGAATCTGGGAACTAAGAAAGCGCTGTAACACAACACTCCTGCCCCGCTGGGCTTACGAGTTCTCACAGGCATCAAACGTTGCTGATCCGGACACTCAAGGGGGTGCTGTCCCTCTCCCCTTTCTCCCGAAAGGATTCCTCCAACTTCAGCTTCTCTGGGTCACCAAACCGCACGGTTTCATGGAGACAGCAAGGAGGGGACACTTTGACCACTTGCTCAAACAGACTGAAGTCAGCCACGTACTTCCCACTGGCCGAGAGAGAAATGACCGGGGTAAATTCGTAGCCCCAGAGGATCTCCTCGGGGAGGTAGGAGGTCCGAACTTGGCACGTGGCACTGGTGGATTCCACAGTGCCACTGAGGATGACCACAAGTTCAAAGTCTCCTTCTCCTGTCCGCAAAGCCAGGTCCCAGAAGGGGCTGTTTTCATTCACAATGTGGTAAAAGGTCAGGGGCAGGATGAGGAAAGGGCTGTCGGAAGACGTGTCCACCTGGAAGTCCACGTTGACCTGGTTCAGCCGGACGTTCTCTCCTTCCTTGGTGAGGTAGGTCTGGAGCAGCTTCCCGGTGACTTGGCAGCCGATGAGGAGGCTCTTGCGCATGTTGGCCACTCGGATCATCAGGCAGGTCTTGCCGTTGTGCTGAGCCACCACCGCATGCTGGCTGAATTTAATGGTCTCCGCTCTCTTTTTGGGCCGGGCAATCTTGGCCAAGAAGGTGCCTGTGATGAAGATCTCCATGATGGTGGTGAGGACCAGCTGGCTGATGAGCAGGATGATGGCCAGCGGGCACTCCTCGCTGATGTACCGGAAGCCGTAGCCGATGGTGGTCTGGGACTCCAGGGAGAAGAGGAAGGCTCCCGTCAAGGTGTGGACCTGCATGACGCACGGCGTGTGGTTGGCCGGGGGGTCGAACTCCAGCAGGTCCCCGTGCAGGACGGCCACCAGGTACCAGATGACCCCAAAGAGGAACCACGTCCCGGCGAAGGAGGCCGAGAAGAGGATCAGCTTGTAGCGCCACTGCATGTCGATGAAGGTGGTCCACAGGTCCTTCAAGTAGAGGAACCTCTTGTCCGCGATGTGCTCCATGCGCACGTTGCTCCGCCCATCCTTCGTCATGACCCTCCTCTTGCGCAGGGTGGAGCCAATCAGGGGGCGGCTGTCGGTCTGGGTGGTCTGGCTGTAATACACCTTGGTGGCAGAAGTCATCTGGATCGGGAGGAAAAGAAAAGAGAGGCCGAAAACGTGAGGGCCAAAATCAGCCGACCTCTTGCCAGCCACACGGGACAGAGCCCGGGGTAAGTTACCCTTTGGAGCCTTGAGTCGCCCAGAGAGCAGGATTAGCCTCTGCCAAGCTCTCACACGGAACCGGCACTCGCCAGCGACACAGCCCAGGGCAGCTAGGGTACTTTACCCAAAAGGTGTAAACAACTGGACCTGAAACCGGTGACTCACAACGACAAGAGCCATCCTCTGTCCTTCTTCCCACCCACCCCCACCCCATGAAGTGTACACGGACAACTGGGGTCACAATTTATAGCTCTTGTCTAATAACATGCATGATGTACTTCCCTCGGGGGACTATTTACATCCTTACTTAAAAGTCTGCTGAGGGCAAGTGAGGATTGGAGTGGCTCAAGTGTGGGAACAGCGCCAGAGAGACCTGGGTTCAAACCTGCTGTTAGCCATGAAGTAGGCTTGAGCCACGGAAAAGGAAAATGACTGTGCCCGCCCCTCTGAATGTTTTGAAAGGAGAGGAAAATAAATCTCTCTCTCTCTCTCTCTCTCTCTCACACACACACACACACACACACACACACACACACACACACACAAAGAGGCACCAATGTCTGCATTTCCTCAGTTCCAGCAGATGTCCCTGTAAGCCCGGATAAGATGCTGCGGGAGCCCCTTTGCTTAGCCTTGCCGAGGCTAAGGCACTTACAAGATGCGCGGAGACAGCAGGCAACTCGTTCTGTTCCCTTCAGCCAAACCAGGAGCAGCCCAGAACCTTCCTCAAGAATCCCACAAACTGCTTGTTGCCAGAAAAAAAGTCTGAAACATTGAGGGACACATGGGGCCAAGTGACCTTGCTTGTCTTCACTGGAAACTGCACGGCTTAAAAACCAGGGCAGAATACTTCCAAGGGCATCCATCCCTGGGGTGGGGTGGAGTGGAAAGCACAGCGCAGAGGTGGGATTCTTGAGCCCCATGGCCACCTGCTGCCCCACTTCCCCGCTGTGGGGAAATGAAGGTCTCTAAACTGCCAGGGCAACTTGGCCCTCGTAGGTGTGCCTTCTCTGAAAACCGGGATTTTCACAAGACTAGAAGTGCACTTCTGACCTCTTCGGTTTCTGGTTGTTGTAGGTTTGTTTATTTGTTCTTGGAAGGGGGCCACCCTCCATGGGTCCTGGGAACTTGCTACACCCCAACATGGTGGGGCCGAAAATGCACAGAAAAGGCACAATCTTCTCCAACAGAACCGAACCCCCCCCACCTCCTCTCATCGCCCGCAGGGGAAGCGCGAGTATTTATTATAAGGACAGCTCCCGGGGCAAGGCTCAAAAGACAAGGCCATGAGCCACCATGCAAAATGGTCTCTGGCCACGTTTTGCAAGCGGGCCGGTTTTTGGCTTGAAAGTGTTTGTCATCAGAAGGTTCAAGAAAGGCCTCCGCTGACATCCTCTGACTTCCCAGCTGTGTGGGGCTCTGAATGATTTATGTGCCAGGAGGGAAAATGCAGAAAGCCATGCCTGTCCCTTCATGGCGTGACTTATCCTGAAGCCCAGTCCTCCATCGAGCGCAGCCGGGCTCCTGGGCTGGGTGGCCCTTCGGCCTCTTGATGCCTGTCGGGGAAGGGCCGGTGGAGGCTGGCTTCTGTTTTCCCTCCTGCCTGATCCTGAGGGCTTTTTGTCTGGTTGCCCGTCTGGGCAACAGAGGAGGAGGTGGAGGTGGCTGCGCCAGGGGCAGCTTGGAGCCTGACCTGACCGAGCCACTCATCTCCTTAAGGAGCTTCAGTTATTCTCCTCCGGCCTCCGGCTGCCTCCTCCTCCTCCTCCTCCTCCTGCTGACTCCGTGTCTTGTCGAAAGCGACAAGCATCAGCTTGGTTGGATGCGGAGTGACATTTGCCCCTTCCTCGGAGGCTCTTTCTTCTCCCGACGCCATCCGAGGGCATCTTCGCCCGTTCTGTTCTTCAGACTCAGCTTTCTCTTCACGGTGGCCCCTCGCGAGGCAGCGCTGATGGCTGGACCCGTCGCATCTTTGAAGGCTGGCGGGATCTGCCCTT